GGTATATATAATATATGTATATGTATATGTCTATATATATATATTCTCATTTGCATGTATAATTGAGCTTATCAAGTCTAATTGGACTACTGTCATCTGAAGTACCATGTTTTTTATAAATTCTTGGACATATTTTTAAGGATTTTTGGGTGTATAATTAGCAATGAATATTTATATATTGTAGTTCCATTTGGACAAAAGATTGAACCTTTAAATTATCTCAAGTTGTTATTTTATGTTGAAATTCACGAACCCTTGTCCTTTTATTTTGCCCTAATTGTTTTGAAATGATTAGGTTAAAGCTTCAAAATTTACTCAAGAAATTTTGTGTGATTTCAAGAATTCGAAATCTCAGAAACCCCATTTAATTTTTGTGAAGGAAAAAGACTTTTTTTAATTTTTTTAATTTTTTTAAAAGATTGGGAACCCTAGTGTTCGATCTACCCAATTAAATATATATCTGATCCTTTTTAGGGTTCTTCAGTGATCAGTTCATACTGTTGAATTTCTGATGCTTATCTTTGTCTCTAATGTAATTAATTAATTAATTACATTAAAACCCTCAATTTATTACTCATCTTTTTTTCTGCCCCTGGATGAAAGCTTAATTTCTTCTTGTTCGTACTGACGCCCACTAAACACTGTGTACTATTTACCTATCTCTTTCCACTGTGTGTGTGTGTGTCATTGTGTGTGGAAAATGGGTGCTTCTGTTGACACCATTACTTTTAAATTTATACTAATTTGGGTTTTTTATGATGTGGGATCTCAATAAAATCATCACAAAAAAGTGCTTCGTTCCCCTTCTTTTTTTTTTAATTATTTTTTCAAGAAATTTATTATTCAAGAATAAAGATTGGTTTTTTATTAAGTATATAATGTGAAATTTTAATGTAAAAAACTTAATTCGTTATGATGATCTGATTGGGATTGACAATTGGTGATCCAATTGATGAATATATAGAGTAGATCTGTAAAATTAAAAAAAGAAAAGAAAAAAAAGAGTAGTTTAATTTGATCATCTCTAATTGATGAAAATTTTGTTTCTTCTTCATAATGCTCTTTTGATGAATTCCGTTCCAGTCACGTCGTTTTCTCCCTCCTCTCTCTCTCTCTACAAATACATATATGTGTGTATATATACACATATCTCTATCTCTCTCTCTCTAAAACACACACACATTCAGAGAGAGATAGATCAGTGAGGGTGTCAGATCACCCAGCTGCAGAAATGACAGACGCACTGAAAAAAAAGACGAGAGAGAGAGAGAGAGAGAGAGAGAGAGAGAGAGAGAGAGAGAGAGAGAGAGAGAGAGAGATAATTAAGGAGACTTGTTTTAACACAGTTAATAGGAGTAGTATGGTTATTGCCCATCTGATATATCGAGGGCTGCTAATTTTGTTTTATATATATATATTTATATCCAAGAAATTCCTTTGTTTTTTATATATTAATCCAAAATATATGCTAATTCAACAAATAAAACATTGTACTAATTGCATATAATTATTACATACATCTTGTTTTATTTTGACACTTTTTAAGGCTGTCTTAGATCCTTTATCCCTTTACACTTTTCTTCCTTGTGGTAATTAATCTGAATGAAGTTTCTCCCTGAAATTTTCTTCTTCTTCTTTGTCGTCGTCGTCGTTTTTAATCGATAAATTAACAACGGCAAGGGTTTTCTTTTCCTTTTTTTTTTGTTTTTTGTCTAGGGTTTTGCTCATATATAAAGATTGAATTAATCTTGCTGTGTGTTTCAGTTGACGGATCAAATTTAATGGATTTTTTTATCTATTATATTAATTACTATTAAATGGGGGTGCAGGTTAGTGTTCCATATGGAAGCATGTTCAACATTGTTACTGTTAGATGCGGACACTGTGCCAATTTGCTGTCTGTTAATATGGGAGCTTTGCTTCAATCTGTTCAACTTCAAGATTTCCAGGTACACACACACACACACACACACACACACACACACATATATGAGATCTGGTTAATCTTGTTGTACTAATTATTTAGTAGTGATGTCTTAATTTAATTTGCTTATTGTCTCTTGATATTTATATATGTTGCTGAGCTTATGATGGAATCATGAGTTTTTTACAATCTTTTTTTTATTTTTTAATTTAATTTTTAAATTTTGATTCAATAATATATATACATACAGAAACAACAATCTCTGGTAGCAGAAGCTAACAATAATAAAGACAGTGGCTCTTCTTCAAAGTGCAACAGATTCGGACCACTACTCCATACTGATCATGAACAACCTAAGTTGCCTCCCATTCGCCGTACGTAATCTCTCTCTCTCTCTCTCTCTAAAACAATGCATCTCTCTCTCTCTCTCTCTAAAACAATGCATCTCTCTCTCTCTCTACAAATTAATCTATAAAAAAGATCTCTTATAAATTAATGACTAGAGTAAAAGAAAGTGAAATTAAAAAAGAAAGAAAGAAAAGGAAACAATATGTTGTGACTTTTGGTTGGACTGATACAATTAACATAGTTTTGTTTATAAGTGGCCTGTGTGTAATTAGTACATTACCACAGACACTTATTAATTATATTGAAATGTTCAAAAGTAAAAAAATAATTAATGCTGGTATTTATCTAAAAGAGCACCTGACAATATTTCTTGATTTGTTGACCTGTTACATATTGTGATTGTGACTTTACATTTCTATACAACTCATCTCATCAAAATATTTAACTCTCAAACATTGGCCTACACTACTTCTATTATATATCACTCAATAATGCTTTATTTTTTTTATTTTTTTTATAATTAGTCAATAATGTATTTATTTATTATTAGTGAGAGAAAATTCATGTACATGAACCTCTAATTAATTAGTTAATTAAATAGTTTTGTTTAATTTATTCCGTTAACGAACAATTTTTTTTCTTTATGTGAATCGTGATTTTACAGCTCCGGAGAAACGGCAACGTGTTCCGTCAGCGTATAATCGTTTTATAAAGTAAGATTAATGTTCATGAATTTTCAGATTATGTTATATATTATATATGTTTGCAGTAGAAGAAATTTTAATTTGTTGTGATATTAATTAGGAAAATAATTTAATTAATTAATTAATTAATGTGAATGATATTTACAGAGAGGAGATTCAGAGGATAAAAGCAAGCAACCCTGAGATTACCCACAGGGAAGCTTTCAGCACTGCTGCAAAAAATGTAAGTCTGCTGATGAAAATATATATCTTAATTAATAATAAATCTGCTATTTATTACTAAATTAAAAGCAATAATTATATTCAGGCAAAAAAATATATAGGCATAAATTTTGTTAAAACTATCAGATTATTTTGGTTGTACAAAATCATGTTGATAGGAAAAGGTCCTGATTTTAGGTTATAAATACGAAGCATGCATTCCTTAATTAATCGGAGTAATATTCGATCAATGTGATCGTTTAAATTCTCAATTAATATATTGAAAGTTATTTACTAATTAATGTTATATATTCGGTATTTTTCGAGCAGTAAGTGATGAAGAATTTGTAAATAATTTGTACTGTATGATGATGATGCAGTGGGCACATTTTCCTCATATCCATTTTGGACTAAAGCTGGATGGCAACAAGCAAGCTAAAGTTTCTGGAGAAGCTGCCACTAAGAAATCTAATAGTTTCTAGTAAGATTTATTCTTACAAATAATATTTATAATATTAATATAATAATCTTATAATAATAATAATTAGGGTTAAAAAAACTAAAGAGATTGCATTTTGTCGTTCGAACAGAGTATGAAGATAGTGGCATTCGGAGCTGTCCTAATTTTAGAATTTACGAAAAAATAGTTTTACAAAATTCGATGCTACGTACTTTTGCGTTACATATAGTTTTTTTCATAAATGACTAAAAATATGAGGGACCGAATGCCACATATCTTCAACTCTAGGGTTGCTAACGTGCAATTTTATTTCCCTGGAAAAAATAAATTTATAGTTTATTTTGAGTAAAAGAATTTCGGAGATTTGAGGACGATCGAAGTTTGGATTATATCTATATATTATATATATGTAATATATATGATCAACCTGATAATTGTTGTTCTTTAATTTTTATGTGTATAAGAATTCATGACCTAGCTATTGGTTAAATTCCATTGGATTGCAAATGATACCATAAAATTATTTGTTTAATTAATTTCCTCACATTTTTGTGTGCATGCTTCAAGCTTTCTTGAATTTTCTCACACACACACACACACACACACATAAATGTGCATTTTTTATTTATGAATGTGTGTATATATTTCAGTGTATAAATATATATTGCTAAAGACATTTGCCTTATACTGGAGGGATGTGACCAGTGCCTATATCTCTGTGAATGTGTGTATATATTTCAGTGTGTGTGTGTGTGTGTGAGAGAGAGAGAGAGAGTGTGTGTGTATGTAGGGAAACGATGGGAACAATTCAAGAAATGAGGAGTCACAGTCAGTACTAGTGATGAAGGTTACATATCAAATCAAGAAACTGAGCCCCCACAAAAATAAATTAAATAATGGCATCTCAACGTTTAACTCCATGAATAAAGTGAAGGCTAAAATGGATTCATATATATACCCATTGTATTAATTCATTTGGATATATATAGATAGATACATGTTTTTATTTCAACTTAATTTCATTAAAAAGAGAAAAAAAAAAGTATGAAACTTTGCATGGAAAAAAGAAAAAAAAGTGTAAAAGTAGTGTTAACTTCCAAAAAATATTTGATGGACTTTTCTTTAATAGTTGGCTTTATCAATTATCTTTTTTGATAAAGAAAGACCGAAATATTTCTTGAAAAATATATATATAAATAAATAAATAAAATGAAATAAAAAAGATGGGAGAATCTGTAATGTCAAATCATGTAGTTGGGGTAGTATTGGAATTTAGGGGTTGGGGTGGGGTAGGGTTTAACTTTAGATGATCAGCTGTCATTTCATTCACTGTCGTCTTCATCATCATCATCATCTCCTCCACCAACACAAAGCTCTTCACACTTTGCTCGTACAATTCGTTATCAATTCAAAACTATACACACACACACATATATATATATATTGGATTTTTTTTTTTGGAAATAAAGTAATCAATTTTTATTTGTATTAATTCTGATAAAGATGAGTTTTAAAAATAAAGTGATATTTATTTGAATTTCAGTAAAAATATTTGTCGAGATGCATGTAGGCTGCAGCAGTCAAATCACTTACAAAATGCCAAATGAATTTAAACTAAAAAGGTACAAATATGTATTTAGAGAGAGAGAGAGAGAGAGAGAGTACCTAAAAAAAATCCCACTATTTGATAAAATAGACCAGTTACAATAATTTAATGGCTACATTTTTTGTAGCAAAATGATCCTATATAAGATTCTCAACTGCCACCTCAGCTTTCACTATATTTAATTTATATAATGATTTTTTTTCTTCGGCATTATCATTATCATCATCCTATACTAACAAACACCCTTTCAGTTTTCAAATCTTAAAAAAAAACACTACCTAAGACTAACAAAATATCAAGACAAAAATTATTGTACCCATATCCATAACCAATAATTAAAAAAAACATTAATTAAGTAATTAATTAATCTCTTTTCCAATAATCACTTACTCATCTCAACTTTTTTCAGGCATCTTCAACTCTCCTGTAAAACAAAACATAGGCAGCTGAGGTTTTGATCTTGTCCTCACTAATCGGAGACACGTGGCTGTCGTCAAAATCGTACCACCTATCACCGCCATGCTACATCGAACAAGTAAAAATTTAAATTCCGTACTCCAAGAAAATATATAAACATCAATTAACGCACAAATCTCGATCGATGCTAAGCCGAACTTACATGAACAAATGCTGTGTAGTGACCGCCTCCCATGCTTCCGTAATGGTTACTTATTGCATAAAGCAAATAGCGGTTAGAAGATTTTCCGCCCTTTTGGGCGATATAATCGGACAGGTCAAGATCCCGGATGGGGAAGTCAACATAAGTCTCCAATTTATTCTTCAGAAAACGGTTGTAGGAGAATCTTTTCAAATGGATGACCAAGATTTCCGGCAATCTCCAGAGATCTAATTTCTTATCGGCTTGACAGTGCTTCTTGCAAACCGGACAGTACCTAAAAAAGTGGAAAATGGCAGATTGGTAAATAAGTGGTCTGAGAGAAATAATCTGTAGAAACTAAGGACTTAGCATACTGATTACTGACCACATATCATCTGGTCCAAGAGGCTCCTCCTTTAGAAACGCTTCGAGGCATTTATACAGAGATACAGATTCCTGCGGTCTCTTTGCGAAGAATCCCGATTTGAAAACTTCCGGAAGCGAAGTCAAAGGCTGTACGTCGTAACGCTTGACCATCTTTTCCGACCAAGATACAAGTACATAAAGCCTTTCAGGCATGGGTTTCACCAGCTCTTCCATTCCGATTTCGGATTTTTTTTCTACTCCTTTTTCGTTTGTTAAGTAGAACTGAAAATCTGCAACAGATTGTCCTTCCACAGGCTTTTCTTCATCGGATTTCAGAGGCGACTCACTTAATAAAGAATCTACTTCGGTTGCACTATTGTTTGAGGAATCAATATTGTCGGCAGAATCGTCATCAGGTACCAGGAATGGAGCAAGTAACTTTGCATACACTTCACGAAAATCAGATCCTTTAGCAATGTTTTCCCGTACTATGAGGGGAACTCCGAATGCCTTCCAATTGGGTGTTAATTTCCCACAAATGAATTTTCTGTAGATAATTATTTTAAAAATTAGCGAAAAAAAATAAAATAGCAAGATACATGTGAAAAACATGCAATTATGCGATTAGTTGGACTCACTCTTCAATCTGCTGATGCATAAATACAAAAAGCGGGGATTCCTTAGCATCCTTCGACAGCCTATATGCGATTAGTTGGTCATTGTCTCTAATCAAAGATAACGAATCAGTCGGCTCTTCCAGAAAACGTATGATACGGTTGTTGTAAATCTGTACATGTTCACCATTACAAAATAAGCAATATGGCGAAATAGAATAACATTTAGAAACTCCAAAGAAAAATTTAGGTAGCACTGTAATTGCTGCAGTTACCTCAGCAACTAAGAGCATTTCGTCAACTCCTAACGAACATGCTGTGCTTAAGGCCTGAGTGAGATCTTCAAGCTTCCCATTCTTGGGTACAGTGACAGTGAACGAGGATGGCTTAGTACTACCATCAGATTTTACAACTGTCACCGTCATTGTCCGCGTGGATGTTGATGGCAGAGGTAACGACAGATACATGAATGGGTCGAAAGTAACAGACAACTTTCTGCACTCTGGACATATTAATGTGGACCGGAACTGACCCTGTAATAATACCCGATGTTAGGCTATAGTTAGAAGGTAACTGTAAAGATGACAAAAAACTGCCTGAAAAAAATCCTCTTTTTTTTTTCTTTTTTTTTTCGGTGTCATAAGCCATAGAGCACTTCAATCGCAAATCCAATTATTTTCGATGAAAATATGTGCTTAAATAAACTCTTATTTTCAGATACTTGAGACCCAAAAAAGGCATAAACGTTGACAGTTTGTTTCAAGAACATAGATAAATCTAAAGAAACGAGACTTACTTGGCAAACATCGACAATTATAGAGTCATTACGAGCAAGGTGATTCCGCCAATATTCATCAGCTACTTCTTCATCAGGTCGCCCGTCGGAATCTTTAGCTTCGACGTACGGTTTGCATTTCACACGATTTAAATCTTCATGTAGACCATCTAAAAGAAATGCCAGGACCTCCTACAGTACGTAAATACGGTGAGAATATTTTTACTGCTCTCACTTTCAATGGACGGGACACTGAGTCAGGTAAGTTTCGAAAAGAGGAACAGAAGATTAATTAGAAATTTCCACTTAGAGAATAGTAAATACTTGGGAATCGTGCTGATTAAAGCCACTGAATTGCGGGGCAAAATGAGCAAGCTTCAATTTGAATGTTCTTGGTGCCAGTGGAGTTGCTCCAGGTGCCCATAATTTCTTCATCAGATCTCCGAAAGACGAAGCAATCTCACCCTGTCCAAAGCAAATAATTCTATTGTTTAAGAAATGGAGTTATAAAGATCACAAGCTATATCATACACACATGGAAAGAATGAAATCTATAACATCCTACAACTAACATTTTGTGGTAATCTAACTTGACCGAAAAGGCGATAATATTTGGTGAACAGCAAAAGACAAAGCAGCCCATCGATGAAAATAAAAAGATAAAATTACTCAGAGCCTGTCATTTATTAAGTCCTAATAAGTAAGGGAACGTACTTTCATGCCTAATGGATTGTCCGGGTTTATTTCTTTCCTGTAGTCTCCAAGGAAGTAATCAACAAGCTTTGGGGTGTGTGCTAGACACTGAATAGCACTGTTCATAAAGCAAGTGTTCCCCAGGTTTTGTAATCCAGTTAAGCCCAAACTACCAGCTTCAAACGAACTCCCGAGAAGATACGAAGATTTGCTTCCAGCAGAATTACCATTCATCAGAAATGAAGCACCATTAGAATGTTGCCCATTATCGTCTTTTTTAGGTCCTTTATTTCTAAAAGAATCTGACAATCCATAAACTTGCAACTCAAGCGGCAGCTGCACAAAGGAAAAGAAGTTAAATAAGATAAAAGTACATAATTCAAGGCATTATACGATTTCACTACCCTCTATCTTGTTAACTGCTAGTGGAATCCTAATCCAAGCAAAATCCTTCAAGATTTGGAGACAAATCTTCAAAATCTATGATTTTAAACAATTTCATATTTGCATTAATTCAGTTGGTTGAGCCAAATCCAATCGTTTTTCTTCGAAACAAGTGAACTCAACCATTTTCAGCCCTCCAATGAACATTTTACTTTATTCAAGGAACACAACTATGTCTGAAATTCATGGAAAACTGAACCCTAGCCCAAAGAGCAATCGATAACAAGATACCACATATTTTATTTATGTTAGGAGATATTTCATATATCTTGAGACATGATATTTGGTATTTTATTTAATTCCACAAGATATGTAAAACCCTCTGCTTTTACGATCTGATTTTACGACTATGCTTTTTACAGTCCCCTTCCGTTTTTACTTACAGTCCCGATTTTAACAACCTTGGTTGGTTACAGGAGTAATCTTGATCAACCTGTTACATATCAATTTGATACCAAATTATACACATCATGGACTTTGGTACGGACCTTTTCACAAGAACAAAAGATCAAAGATGATAACCTCACCATGCAGACAGCAGACAAAATAGGATGCAACGAATATAGTTTTCTAATTTCAGACTCGATAAGTCGAAGATGCACAACCATATTGAGAAGTATATCATCACATGATGCATTGTACATAAAGATCTACTTACATCCTGCTCTGTTAGCTTTTGGGAATCTTTTAAGATCTTATTTTTCTCGTTCAAGAAAAGCAGCATTGTCTGCCCAGAAAAATCCCAAACCCGTAACTGCACAGCGTGGAGTTAATCATCAGTTTCCAGGAAAGAATATTAAAGTTACATTTGCAAGAAAGTAAAGTTATACTCACAGGCTCAGCTTCCACATTAAAAATCTTGCAGGCTCTTCGAAAGCACTCAACTGAATTATCCTGAAAATTAAGGCAAATGAGAAACTTAAGGAAGAAAAGAAAGAAGATCAAGAACATCTCAATGCATGCACGCCAATAATAGGTCTTACGTTAAGAAGCCTATTCCAATGTGTTAACTTCCGAATTTAACGGAAGATCTCATATAGGTTGTTTCCCATGATATCTTGTCAAGTTTTAATTGATCAGGAGTTGCTAAATATACACTTTCCTTTTATGGTTGTTCCCTTCAAAACTACCGACGCACAGTTCTTTCTTACATTAAATACAATAATGAGAGAGATGCATGCTACGTGGAAATAAATCATAAAAAAAACAGCCAATACAATGCGACGGCCGCAGGAATTACGAACCTTTTTGCTTATTTTTACCGCCAGTACATTGGTTTCCCACAACACAGAGAGCCTAAGTTGCAATGGATAGACATCTGACATATCTTCTTCTACAGCTGAAAACCCTTTTTTGTCCTTAGACGAACTTCTGAAATCACTGTGCCTGGAAAGCACATAAATAAATAGAAAATGAGTCGACTTTATTTAATTCCAAAGGCATCAATAAAAAGTCGCAATAACACAAACGGATAAATAACTAAACACATTAATGACACGAACGTGATTGCATTAAATGAAACATCGAAAGATGAACGACAAATCCGTGGACGTGATTGCATTAAATGAAATGGGGTCCACAATTCCTCAAGCTAGATAACATTGGACCAGCAAGATTATCGGAGAAGCGACAAAACTCAAAGCGGTGAAATCATGGCAGATATCTAAAGGTACCCAAGCCACGTGGCACACTACGTAATGCATTTATATGTTCAGCAATATATTGCGTGTCTTGCGTGTATCGCAAGTTGAAATCGATCATATAAATGAAAATAGAAAGTTTTAAGCAATGCAGCTGAAAAAAAAAGGCAAACCTAGCTCGAGTTCTTCACTATACTAACCATTTGAGTGTCTGCAGCCAAACATCACCGGGGACCAATGCATAATCTCGATTCTGTAGCCCAACTTCACCACTTTCCCCATTGCTAGAAGAGCCATCTTCTTTCTTTAGGTTAAATGAAATATCTGAATTGAATATATTGTTGAATATCTTCATCGGACCACCGTATGGAGGAGCAGGGCATGCTGCATACGGAATTCCGTTTTTCACCTCCGACAAAGAGGGGTCTTGTGCCTCCTTCCACCATCTAAACCACAACCAAGTTAATAAAACTCTCAGTAACATCCAATCTACACACTCCATTTTTTCTAGGTTTTCTACCCCCAAAATGACAAAGCATTAATAACATGAAAATCCAATCAACCAAAGGCAAAACAAACACGCAGCAAAATTCAATTTCAAAATTGAGTAATTCACCAAAATCCATGACGTAATCAGCTCGAATTTCGAAGTAAACACACAAGTAAATCCAGCGATCAGTTTTTTTTTTTTTTCGAATTTCAATTTTTTTGGAAGTTCTACCCGATTTGGGGTTTCAATTGAACTTCGATTGCGGCTGATACGACTAAAATTGGCAGCAACATTCGATTCCGAAATGAATTTTTCGATTTGAATCAGATTTGTTCGCTAGTTCACAGTCTTCAATAAGGAATTCCACCCAAAAAAAGGAAATAAAAACTCGAAATTCGGAGTGACATTCGAAAATGTTTATACCTAAACGGGACTAAATAGACTCTCTGGTCTTCATCTGAAGAAGAAGCCTCTTCTCTCTCTTCCTCTTCTTCTTCTTCCTCCTTTTTTTCTTCTTCTATTTGACGTGGCTCAGAAGGCAAACAGCTCGACGAAATTTCTGCTGCGGAATCATTCTTAACATCATCGTCCATGATTCTCTCTCTCTCTCTCTCTAGATATGTATCGATAGAATGAGAAAGACACGGGTTCAGAAATGGCGGAGGAGATTTGCAGAAGAAGTGCACATCAGTTTTAGAGAGAGAGAAGAATGAGAGAGATTGCCGGATTTGCAGAGAAAAAAATATTACATGCGAAGAAAGAAAAAAATTAAATTAATTATATTTACTATTTTACAGATGGGATTATACCGTATATACCCTCGGTCTTTCATTTTGTGTAATTTCATATTTTTAACATTTTTTGATTGATTATATATTAAATTCAATTCAAACATGTTTAATTTATTTTTATTTTTACACGAGAAAAAAAAAAATTTAATAGGGGCTTAATATAAAATAAAGTTTATCTATTATTAAAAAAAAAATATATATATAGTGTCAATGTTTCGA